TAGGTTGCAGAGAGCTGAACATTTTATATATTGCAGGAGATTCTAAGTAGAACCCTTGAAAGCAATTTGGAATATATCCAAAAAGTTAAAGAACATTCATATTATAGCTCATTGAGTATATATTTCTTCCTTCTTTTCTTTCTTACTTTTTATTATTTTTAAAGGAATAAAATACAAACACAGTCATGTTTTCCTATTGATGCCATCCTTTTCCCTCTTATTTACCCCAGGTTACATTGTGATGTTTATCATTTCCATGCAGTTTTAGTATTTATAAGCAATATTTAACATTATAAACAGTAGAATTAATATAGGCATTTAATTTTCGACATAGTGTTTTCGAGAATTGTTTCCCCCACGTAGCACTAGTTCTGATAAAGCATGGCATTGAAGGAAACGGACACTGTTTATCCACTCACATACCAAAACACATTAGGTGTTCTACAACAATTAACAAACTGCGATCTCCATTGTGCATAGGGGCCTGTGTTTCTCTGGGCTGGAGTATTTATCTGAGAGTGGATCTTTCTTTTTTACATTGGTAGCTTTTGATGTTTTGGACTCACCTTTCTTTCAAATCTCTAGGTCAATTCCAGGACAACCCGTCTTCTGATCTTCTGTATCTTTTCATTAGCTGTTATGCTCAGTTTCCTTGATTGTTTCGTTGTTGCTACCATATACTATATTGGATCCCCTTCAGATTCTGACTTCAACTCTTTGTCATTCTGCACACATGACTGATCTTACCCAAGCTCAAGTTTTGTACTCTATATACATTGATGGTTCCCAATTTTATATCCTTCTTCCAGATTTTCTCCAAATTCCTAGACCCTTAAGTGCAATGTACACAGAGCATTTCCACTTAGATGTCTCATGTGTACATCAAATTTGATGTTTACTACTGAACATGCATATTTAAAACCATGCTGTCTTTATTGTTGTCATGTATCCAATTGTCCTAAGCTCGAAACTGAAGGATTTTCCCTGGAATTTAACTCTCCCTCACTTTCTGCATTCGCTCTTTCCCTCTCCTCACTCTCCCCTTCCGGCCCCTCCTCCCTTCTCCAGCTCCTCTCTCCCCTCTGCCTAGTCTTCCCATTTTCATTCCTTCTCCTATCTCTCTTCTGTGCATCCTGCTCACATTCCCTGTCCCACTCCTTTACATAATATCAACAACAAGCACAAATATCGTAAGAAGCTACCACTAGGCGAGTTTTATTCTTGAAACAAACATTTGCACGTTACCATTTACTTTTATGACTTTGGGCAAAATACAGGACCTCCATTTGCTTCAATTTTCTTCTTCCGTGAGATGGGGAGCACCTAGGCCATAATTATTGTGAAGATTCAATCCAGGTGTCTGTGAAAAGATGCAGGGCAGTCCTGGCACATGGCAAACATTCTATAAGCTGTAGAATAAAAAATATATATTTCTAGCTGTCTTTATTTCCTATTATAGTATTATTAGAATGTCTATTATTTGACTCCATTTTTACTACTATTTTTTTCACATGAATTATTAAGTAATATTTAAGGTAGGCTAGTCTTCTGAAAAAATGAGTGAATTTTTCATGTATTTTCTTGGGTAAAATTTTAATAATTAAAAGCCTTAAGATTCCCTTTATAAAGTTGAGTTTAATTTTCCAGGAAGGAGACACGATCTATGTGGGGGAAAGGTGTTTGTGGAGAAATGTTCCTAACAGCTCTGTCTGCTGGAATTGGCTTGACTGTAAAATACTTAGGAATTTTGTGGCTTGGTTAAAGTATTGGTAGTTTGTAATTGACAATGATACCAGGCTTTACACCATGGAAACTGGTAAATGCTACAAATCACGGTGCATTTACAAGCTTATCCCTGTACAAATTTGCTAAAGACCAGACTCATTATGAAGTTTCATGAAGTGACAAACCATTTTACCGTGAATTTCAATATATCATGGAGGTAAATGGTGACTGCGGGATTTGACAATTACTATATAGATTAGAAGTCACTATACTAATTACTCTGTAACGGGTGTTAGCACCATCATTCAATACCAAAGGAGAGTCCCTTTGTATATTTTGTTTTGGTTCCTTTGTATGTTTATGTGCTTTTGAATGATTAATAACCAAGTGAATTTCTGCAACCATTTTGTAAAATAAAAGTATTGCTTTCCAGTAAAAAGGAAATATATATTTGAAAGAAGAATTCCCCCCCCCCAATTTTAGAATCAAGTTAGTGCAAATTCAGCATCCCAATGGGAAGAGCTTATTAGGCTCTGGATACTTATTCTGATAACAAGTTGTAATTCCACTATTGAAAAACCATCTCATAAATTGCTCAACTGGTTGTTTGACTTTTTTTCACTTACCTAGTGAAAAAAAAAACCCACATATAAGATCTTTTTGAAACTGACTAGTTCGTGGGTTCCACTTCCTGTTGTGAGGAGTAAAGTGTGTCTTAAAGTCACTGAACTTCTCAAGATTGTTTTCATTCTCTCATCTAAACCAATTTAGGTTTCAAATTCACATATATTAGGTGAAACTGGAACTTCTTATAATTTGTTATTTCTATAATATGCACTGTCTTTCTGGTTGGGGGAAAACAGTTTTAAAAGTTAATACAGGTTTTATAATAATTTGTCTTAGGGGAAATATTGTTGGAGGAAAGCATCCTCAATGACTGAACTCCTTTGTCCCCCTTTAAAAAAAGTCTAAATCCTTCTTGGTGTTGAGTGCTTGCTCTCTCTGAGGTATTGTCCTGCTCCCAAGCCCACCCAGCCCGGGCACAAGATTCCAGCAAACACTAAGGGCTGATCTTGGGCAAAATTGAGTCAAAACCTATAGTTTCCTTCAGGCTTTCTCTCGAGCTGGCCCTAAGCTTGGATGGAGGAGCTAGAGAGTTCCAAGTCCCATTGGAGTTCATAAGGGGTGGATGGAGGAGATTCACTTGTTCCCAGTCAGGAGACATGGACCCAATGGTGCCTGACTTTACAGACTCTACAGCTTTCTTCTCGTGACTTTCCTCTCCTTTGTTCATAGAGCCACTCTTTTTCTATGTACTAATGTGACTGACCTTGGTCATTTGGGGCCAGGACCCTATAGGAATGCTTCTATTCCCACATCTAAATTTACTTACTTCTTTGTCTTTAGTCCTGGCTCTTACCTAAGTTTTAACTGTCCAAATGATACACCTATTTGGGCTAAAATATTTCTTTTTGGTTTCCGTGATCTCAGATAATTGCTTAGTAAAAAGACCCCAGGAGACCATTGGAGGGAATGGTGGGAATTTCAGATCAAGTTGCAGGTCAGAGTGAGTGACATTTGGTGAAGAGGAGCTGAGACTACCTTGTTGTCACAATATGCCTAAATTTTAGTCAGGGGTCAGGACTGTAATAAATGTATTCTTGCCTAAGACTTAGGGCAGACACTGCCTTTGTTATGTCCTTTTCTCACAAGGATGATTGATTCCTTCAGGACTAAAGTTTTATTCTAACATTTATAAAATAAAAAGTCAGGATGAGATTTCCCAGGAAAAATAATTGAAGCACATTGACTTCATCATTGTGGTTGAAGGAAATACGAGTCCCACTTATCCTAAAAATGATGCAATTTTTATTAGTATAAGTATTTGCTTATATCTGTAATAATGCAATATGAAATGAAATATAGTTATATAATGATTTTTGGTTTTCAGAGCATTTTCACATGCAATCTTGTCAAAAATCTATAAGATTTATAGGATTGGGATTATTAGAAATATCTTGATTTTGCTAACAAGGAAGTGGGTTCTGAGTGGTTAATTGACTTTTTCCTGGATAATACAGCTACCTGGCCAGCCCCTGGATTTACAAATCCTACCATTTCCCCATATCATATGCCCTCTTCAAACATATTGTAGAACCATATACAAGAGTTATTAGGTCAATAGTTAGGTATGCAGAATACTAGCCAGGAATATCTGTATTCTAAAATGTTGTGGTAAGATTGTATGCCAACTATTAGAGCTGCTTGTAATTCTGTACAATATTTTCAGATTCTTTACTTGTTAACATTAAAGATTAAGTCTCTTAAATCTGAATAAATTCAGCTTAGATAATGTGTAGAAAAAGTGGAACTTCTTCAGTCTAAAATGTCTCTCTTGCTGCGCACACATGCACACACACGGTCATTTGAAAGCATTTTTTTTTTTTTTTTGGCTATATCTATGTTTGTCCATAGTCTGACCTTACACAAATTATTTAAAATGTATTGTGAACGATGTGTGTAGCAGATATATTATTTTATGTCCGGTTTGAATATTTGAAGAGTGGGTATAAAATAGAAGTTGAAATTAACGTATCTTCTGTAAAACGGGTGAGAAATATTCAGAGATGCTTAAAGACAGGATGAGTAATTTGAATCTGGCCATAGATAAGAATTTCCTGATAAGGAGGATTGATAGTTACTTAGATGTCACCAAAAGAGGTGTGGAAGTTCTTTTTCTGGGATATTTAATTCATGTGGTGTTGGTGTAACCCTAGGTGGGGGCAGGGCCATGGATTTAATAATCTGATATGAACCTGTAATATTGGGACATCACAATTATCTTCCCGGTTTATTTAATTCATTGGTGTTCTTTAAAAAATTGCAGAAGAAGCCAGATCTCTTTTTTGATTCTCTCACAAAAAAAAGTCAAAGGGGGAAATATTTCACTATTTTTAAGAAGTTCAGTGCATACTGTCAGGCCCTAACAGAAGTGGCAGCATTAAAACTGTCTGTGGTGGAAACAGGAAACATTAGTGATAAACGCCGAGTTACGCATCTTTGTATCTTTCTTCAGGTTCAGCTCAACGTATACCATTCTAATTAGCACATTTTGTGCCTCAGCGAGTAGCTCCCCTTTAGCGCTGCTTGGAGAGTTTTTTTTAGCTTCCATTCTGCTCATAAACACTGCCACCCCCCTCCCTCCTTCTCTCTTTACAAATGTTACAACACAATCAGAAATTTCCTCTTTTCTTTCCTTCCTGCATTATCAGCAGGTTCCCTTGCGTCAGAAGCAGAGAAAGAAAACTCAAGGTAATTAGATCTCTTTTGTTTCTTTATCCCGTTTTTGTGTGCGTGAGTGTGGGTTTTCTTTCGGATGCCTTCTTTGGGATCAGATTTTTTTTTTTTTTTTTTTGGTCCGTCTTAATGCTCATATCAGAAGGTGGACGGCAGATTAAATTTTTGGTTATTTTTGGATCGATTTTAAGAAATGACGGCATGCTGTTCATTTGGATTAATCCCTCGTGGTATGTCAATAAAGCTTAGAAAAGCTGGCACCGAGTCGGGAGGTAGCTGTGTTTAGGTGGGCATTAACCCTTCTCTATCTATTGCATAATGACTGCTATTATTTTGAAAGGAGCTGCGTTAGTACAACGATGTGCCTGCCAGGCTTCTGATTTGAATTTTTTCAACTTATTCTTGTTGAATAATATTCTTAGACTAACACTTGCATGTTAGCCTCCCTTTTCTTTGGTCATCTCGTGTACCTTCTAAGCACCGAATGAATGCTTAAAAATAAAATAAATAAATGACTCTTCTGTCTTTTTTTTTTTTTGCATTTACTTTGCGTAAATTTTTGCAAAAAATCCTCCCAAGAGGTAAACAATTAATGGTTACTGTTCACTCAGTCACCTACAACAGGGTACAATGTTCCTTACCTTTTCATGTAATTGTTGCAGGTTTTTTCACGATGAGTCGGAGGAGGATATCCTGTAAAGACCTGGGACATGCTGACTGCCAGGGGTGGCTCTACAAGAAAAAAGAAAAAGGAACTTTCCTAAGCAACAAATGGAAAAAGTTCTGGGTGGTACTGAAGGGAACGTCGCTCTACTGGTACAGCAACCAAATGGTGAGTGAACAGTCTTTGCTGTCCTTTTCAGCTGCTCTGGCAAAGGATGGATGAAAGATCACTGAGGAGCTGGTGGTTCCTATGGGAAAGTTCATTTTTATTCTTGGAACTTGTAACAGAGCAAATAAATAAGTTCTAGAAACCTTTTCTGATCCAATAGATAGGAAAGCTAATGCACTCTATTTTATGGAAGAGAAAATCAACCGGCTTGACTCATCGTTAGTTGGAGAAGGCTGTCCAAATTTATATCTATCTATGAATTTTATTTTTTTTCCATGAGAAATTGTACTCATTTCAAGATTTATATGGACAGCACTTTATATGGAAACTTTATGTTATTAAGATTTCTACTAAAACAAGGAATCTGCTTTAAGACCTATTGGGGTGTAAACTGATCCCGTCCACAGAATGTATTTTCATTTCTCCTTCTTTACTATTTTTTCCTCTCCCCTTCTTTACTGAGTGGGTTGGTTTGGGAGTCGCTAATCTGTGGGCCAGCGCTGGGCTGCTGACTGTTTTCTCTTGTTCCTTGGCATGCTCGGTGATGGCATTAAAGAATGATGATCAGACACCACTTGAAAAGAAAGTTGCCTGATTTATCCTTAATCAGCAGTACACTTCTGTGGTCTGCTTCACAGGCTGGTTTTCTCTTGGGAAGGGCTGGAAATAAAGTTATTGTGGGAAGGTTTGCTGATTGTTCCTGGCTAGCAACACTTTTGAAGACAATGATGTTGTTGAATATTGAATGAGTAGAGACTTTTCATATAGGAATTCTCTCCATTAACCCCCAGTGGCCAGTTGGTGATCCTGGGAGAGCTGGAGTTTCTTTTGGGGTCTAGTGAAGGTCAGCGATAGATGTCCTTTAAGCAGTTTAGGGGAAATTACTTAGGAATTGTCCCTAAGCAAGAGACATCCTTTCTGTATGATGCCATTCTTCTAAAATGGCTTGTGGACTCCCATCACTCAAGTAACAGAGCTTTAGAGCATAGAACTTCATAAATGTAATAGAGGTGCTGCGTATACTTTGTGGGCAAGATTTTTAGTGGATCAATTTACATTCATTGGCTGTTAAGATGAAATTTGTTATTCCCATGGCTCTAGGCACCTATTCTGTAAAGATTTGGTAGAACTGGACCCAAATTCAACTCTAGTGCTCTGGGATAAGCATTCACACCCCCCTCTCCTCCCCACCTCTCCATGCTTCTTTCTCTACAATCCCTCTCCAGCCTCCTGTTCTCAAGCTAATTGCTTTGGTTTCACCCCATGCAAAACATGGTACAAGGTCCTTCATTGAATTCCATAAAACATATATATTTTTTAAGGCTTTCGTGAGCTGTAACAACTTTATCGAAGATTTGGGAGGGTTGCATGAAAGAATCACCTTGCAGAGTATGCAGGTACCTGCTATCTTCCGTCTCTTTTCCCCTTTTGGGTATATCCATCATCTCTTGTTTAGCATGGGATAGTTTTACCCAAATTAAGGTGACCTAGGGCTGGGGTCGTGCCTTCTGTCTTCAGAGATTTTTCCTAAATGAACAGCAGTTTCTCTTATGAGGAATTAAGGTCATTACAGATTTCTTCCTCTTGTTTCATATTACTTTTGACTCTTGCTTTTGGGTAGTTGCAGCCAGTGATAATCTGCATCTTTTATAAATTGAGAGGACTTAACTGACACACCTTTTAATAGCTCTCTGGGAATTTCCAGAGGCTGTTGGAAGGATTGTTTGGGTATTGATCGAGCATGGCACATCCGTGGGAAGGAACAAACTCAGAGAGAAGCATGGCATTACTTTCCTCAATGAAATTATTGAGCAAATATGTTCTTAGTGCTGTCCCCATCTTCACAGAATTTAAAGGAAGAAGGACGCCCCCCCCTCTGAAGTGCACATATTTACAGATTTGGCTGATTTGGTTCGTTGGCTCATTTGGCTTAAGCTTCTCTTACAGGAGGGACTTAGAGGACAGTTACGTGTTTTAGGCATTAGGAATCTCATGTTTCCACAGGGAGCAGCAGTGTCATCTGAGATGAGATTGGGAAGAGGTAAAGGAGAGAGCATCCGACACACGCAGGTGCCCGATCCTCATTCGCTTTCATGCAGACTTATAAAGCAATATTCAGGTAGCAAATTGTGTACTTGAATAGAATTAGATTAGCGATATTGGTTGGAGAATAAGTTTACTGTTATCTGGCCTCGGAGTTATTCTAAGAAACTAGTGGTATGTAACGGAGGGACCACCAGTTCCCTAATTCTATGACTCTATTATAGGGGAATTCTCATTCTTTTTCTTTCTATGCACATACACATACATACACCCACGGGAGTGGGCATGTGTGCATACCCTGACATCTAAATTATATGTTTGTTGTGGGGAAAAAAAGGCTACTCAATGAATACTTAATTAGCAGTCATATTCCTGGTACCCATGTGAATCTCAACTGTGAAATAAGAACCAAGCGCATGTCCTCAAGCTAAGAACATTTATTTACTTTCTGCCACATAAGGAATTCAGATTCAACAAAGTAGCTCCCAAGGCACTTAATGCCTAATGAGCAAACCTCTTATTCTCTCTTCCCTATTCTCTATTCTTTATTCCATGGCCTGCTGCTGGGAGGTAATGGAGCCAATAGCATCCCAGCCAGAACTGCCTCTTGCTGAATGCCTACTATGATGCCAAGGGATAGTCTAGGTACCCTTAACACATGCTCTTTCTTACTCCTCAAAAACACCCTCTGAAGTAGTAATTGTCACCGCGTTTGGAAGTTGGGAAGGCTGAGACTCAGGGAAGATTGTGTGTATAGTTTCGTGATGGAAGTAGGAAGCAGGGAAAACAGATCACCTTCCTCCCCTTTGGCTCCGCAGCCGGAATTGTCACCATATGCTGGCCTGACCCCATGCAGGCACCAGGATAAATGACAGCCTTCAGTAGGGTTCTGAGAGAATAGCTCTAGAGATGAAGCCTAGGGCCATTCTCAGATGAAAGGATGGTGCTCTATCTCCCCGGACCCCTCTGTGTGTCTCTTGCTCTCAGATACATCACCCTCACCATTCCGGGCACCCTTTTTGTCCCCTTGTTACCCAGTAATTGATTCGTGATGTACCTTCTTCCTTCGTGACACTTTGCTGCTTCTAACAACACTACCCGGATTTCCTTGAGAAAGGTCAAGTCCAGACACTCATCTGCCATTTTCACACCCCATGTTATGTGCTTAGAATGTGATACAGCACACAGGAATGTGTGCCAGGTCTTATAAAACCATGTTCAAGTTTACGAGCCACAAATACCCAGGCTATTTGCAATCTTGCATTTGAAATCCACACAATTGTTTTCCCTTCCCACTTGGATAAAGTACACATCTCTTTCCTTGCTTGTGAGAGTCTCCTGACCTGTATCTCTCTTATTTACTCCCCTCCCACACCCCCTTCTCTATCCAACTACAGAATTTCTTTCAATTCCTTCTTAGCATCACATATGCTGGCTCTCTCTTTGAGCCTTTCTACACATGCTGTTTCTCTGTCCAGAAAAACCTTTGTCTCCAAGCCCAAAAGTTTTTCTCTCACACAGTCCTATTGACCTAAGTCCTCCTTAGAAGTCAAATTTTAGCTTAAGTAGTAGCCTTCCTTCTACATGGTCTTCTCTTATCCTCTGACCTAAATCAGGGCACCTCTGCCTGCTTCCATAGAAGCTTGACTTTTCTTAGTTTTATGCCCTTCTTCCTCTCGTGTCCATGTTTGTTAGGCTTGCTGTTTTCTGTAACTGATGATAATCTCTGAAGGTCAGGACCACAAGTATATCTTTAGTGCAGTGGCTGACACTTACTAGGCATTTGATTAATATTTGCCGATTTCATGAAATGAGGGTTAGGAATCATTAGCATTTACATTCCCCATGGGGATCTTGAGAAATGGTTTGGATAAGGACTGCTTTTAATGGAAAATATTTTTCCAGTAAAGAGACTTCTACTCGTATTCTTAAAAATAGGTACAGGAGAAGGTGCAATTTGAGATTTGCTAGAAGGGTTCCATGGTCCCATGTAGGTCCCACATAGCTGCTCCCATTTGGTAACATTGTATTAAAGGTTGTTTTTTAAGATTACTTCTAGGGGCGCCTGGGTGGCTAAGTCAGGTTAAGTATCTAACTTTGGCTCGATCATGGTCTCACGGTTCATGAGTTTGAGCCCTGCGTTGGGCTCCGTGCTGACAGCTCAGAGCCTGGAGCCCGCCTCAAATTCTGTGTCTCCCTCTCTCTTTGCCCCTCCCCTGTTCTCTCTCTCTCAAAACTAAATGAGCATTAAAAATAAATAAATAAAAGATTATTTCTAACCAGGGCCACTGGCTATAAACAAAGGTCTGGTTATCTTGATCAATTTGATCTTGATCCGACTGGGGGCAGAAAATGTAGAAAGGGAGACAGATGTTTTCCCCGGGAGACTCTGGTTAGATGCTAGCACTTCACCTGGACACTAGACACAGCTAGAGACGTTTGGGAACAACATCTTCTCTCTGGGGAAGGAGAAGCGAAGTTCTGAATTACTGTTTTCCTTCAGGTGTGTCCCTACAAAACAGTGACAAGCCCTAAAGATGTTATTAGTCATTGAAAGTGTCTTCTATTTTTAAGGTTTTAGATTTTTCTGCTTTTGCTGGAACTTATTTTCCTTTTTTAAGAATTTTTTTCTTTCTTTATTTTTTCTTCTCTCTCTCTCTCTCTCTCTTTTTTAGAAAGAGAGAGCAGCACGAATGAGGGAAAGGTGCATGGGGGGGAGAGGAGAGAGAGAGAGAGAGAGAGAGAGAGAGAGAGAATCTCAAGCAGGCTCTATGCTCAGCATGGACACCAACATAGGGCTGGATCCCAGGATGTCGAGGTCATGACCTGAGCTGAAACCAAGACATTAACTGGCTGAGCCACCCAGACACCCCTCTTTTCTAAGAATTCTTAATTAAAATCTTGCTTAGTTCCTTGAGAAATATATGGTGGATTTTATGTATACCCAAGACCTATTA